TTTTTTTTACTAGAGGCCCGGTGCACAAAATTCGTGCATGAGGGTGTGTGTATCCCTCAGCCCAGCCTGCACCTCTCCAATCTGGGACCCCTCGAGGGATGTGTGACTGCCCGTTTAGGCCCAATCCCGGTGGGCAGTCGGACATCCCTCTCACAATCCAGGACTACTGGCTCCCAACCACTCGCCTGCCTGCCTGCCTGACTGCCCCTAACCGCTTCTGCCTTCCAGCCTGATCACCCCAGAACCACTCCCCTGCCAGCCTGATCAATGCCTAACTGCTCCCCTGCCAGCCCGATAGCCCCTAACTGCCCTCCCTTGCAGGCCTGGTTGCCCCCAACTGCCCTCCCTTGCAGGCCTAGTCCCTCCCAACTGCCCTCCCCTGCTGGCCTGATCGCCCACAACTGCCCTCCCCTGCTGGCCATCTTGTGTCCACATGGGGACGGCCATCTTGTGTGTTAGAGTGATGGTCAATTTGCATATCTCCTCTTTATTATATAGTATTGATTATATAGTATTGATGTCAGAGAAAAAGGGAGATGGTGAGAGAGAGAGAGAGAGAGAGAGAGAGAGAGAGGGAAACATCAATGATCATAGAGAATCACTGATTGGCTGCCTCCTACACACCCCACACTAGGAATCGAGCCTGTAACCCGGGCATGTGCCCTGACCAGGTATTCAATTGTGACCTCCTGGTTCATAGGTTGAAGCTTAACCCTGAGCTATGCCAGCTGGGCTCAATCACTTAAATCCTAAACAATCACTAAATGCTTACCTCTTCCTCAAAATCTTGCTAGACTATTAAGAACTGCTACAAACTGGATATGTGACTCCCAAGGGGCTTGCCCCAATATAACTAAATAAGCCTTCCATTCTTAAGATGCACATGCTCTGGACCTGTATTTGATATATCTATGCCTATTGCCAATTCCTGTCTTGATTTGGTATTTTGATTTTATATGCTATCAGGCTGACACATGTTATTGCTGATATTAAGCTAGAAGACCAGTTATTTTTTAATGTTTCCTGGAGCTTAAATGTAGTTGTTCTAAAACTACCTCAGATTCATCTAGGAGCTTTAAAAAATACAGCTTCCTGTACCTCTCCACAGACCTACTGAATCGGAATCTTTGTGGTTAGAGCATAGAAATATTTACTTATTTATTTTAAATATGTTTTTATTGATTTGAGAGAGATAGAAAGGGAGGAAAGAGAGAAATATTGATGAGAGAGAAATATTGAACGGCTGCATCCTGCATACCCCCTACTGGGGATTGAGCCCGCAACCTTGGCATCCACCCCAACTTGGGAGGGATTTTCATGAAGTATTGTTAAGATGAAAAAAACAACAACCTGTAATATTATCCCCCCAAAAAACACTATGTCGATCTACATAAGATTTTATAAACAGTAAAATACAGAAATATGCACATTACATTATTACCTGGGAAGGTGGGAATAAAAGGTAGGAATTAATGTGAGGGGAGGAGAGAGAAACAGTAAAATTATCCATAATAAAAACAGCATGTGTGCTATGATCCCATTTATATAAAATTATTTCTTTGTGTGTTTTTTAAAGCTACTCATCAGGTGACTATGATGGGCAGTCAGATTTAAGAATTACAGCTACGATGATTAGAATCTGGTGCTCCTCTAGTCAAGTCAAGTATGATTCCCTAGACAGGAGGAGGCTATTGAAACCTCCTGAAGCAGCGGTCACCAACCGGTGGTCCGTGAAGTCCAAAAGGTTGGCGACCGCTGTCCTGAAGGGAGTAGACTCTGATTCCTTTAAAGATATTTAAGCAGAGGTGGAGGTGGCCATCTGTTAAGAGTACTGTTGAGGGATTTCTGGATTTGATAGATGGTAGAATTAAGATAATGTCTACTACCGATAAAGAGTAACAAGAAAGACTACCAGATATTATGTACTTTCTGATATAAGAAGTTTAAAGTCCTACCTATGGAATTTTTTTCAAATGGAATCTGATTTTAATCAAGCCTCTAGCCCTAAGTACCAGGTTATAGGAAAAACAGGGGCTAGAAGAACATGTTTAAAAAATTTTTGAAAAGCTCTACTAGAATATAATCAATAAAATCTAGAATGCGGAGGATAAATGATGAAATTTTTTCAACAAATAAATGGGGGTAAAAGAGAAAGGAATCTTACAGGTCTTAAAAAAAAAAAAAAGCCTTGAAGCAAATCAGCAAAATGCAATGTGAGAATCTTGTTTGGATTCTGATTTGAAGTAAATCAACTGTGAAAAGACATCAAAGGGACAACTGAAAAAAATATGAATACTGGTAACTGCATTATATTAAGAAATTATTGTTACTTTTACGTGTAATGTTATAGTTTTGCCTTTTAAAAGTCTTTATTTCTTTGAGATAGATTCTAAACTATCTATAATAATAAAAGCGTAGCCCTAACTGGTTTGGCTCAGTGGATAGAGAGTCGGCCTGCGGACTCAAGGGTCCCAGGTTCGATTCCGGTCAAGGGCATGTACCTTGGTTGCGGGCACATCCCCAGTAGGGAGTGTGCAGGAGGCAGCTGATCGATGTTTCTCTCTTATCGATGTTTCTAACTCTCTATCCCTCTCCATTCCTCTCTGTAAAAAAATCAATAAAATATATTTTTAAAAATAATAATAAAAGCATAATATGCTAATTAGACCAGACAGCTGAACGACCTTCCAGACGTCCTTCCGGATGAAGCCAGGGCTGCGAGTGCTGAGGAAGCCGCTGTGGCTGCGAGGGCTGAGCCCCTTGCACGAATTTTGTGCATTGGGCCTCTAGTCTATAATAATAAAAGCATAATAAACTAATTAGACCAGACGTCCTTCCGGACTACCTTCCAAATGAAGCCAGGGCTGCAGCCACAGGATCAAGGCAGTTGCCGTGGCTGTGAGGGAGAAATCCAGGCAGCCGCTGTGGCTGTGAAGGCCTACTCTTGCATGAATTTTGTGCATCAGGCCTCTAGTTTATAGATGAAATGTCTGGGGATTTGCATTAAAATAATCCAGTGGGAAAAGGGAAGGGGAGGGTGCTATAGCTAAATCAATTATTGGCCATCCTATATAATAAAAGCCTAATATGCTAAGTGTCTGACCATTCGTTCGACTGTTCAACCAGTTGCAATGATGCGCACTGACCACCAGAGGGCAGGCATTCTGACTGGTAGGTTAGCTTGCTGCTTGGGTTGGGCTGATCAGAACTGGGGGAGACGGGCCAGACACGCCCTGGAGCCCTCCTGCAGTCCTTCCCTGACTCCAATCATGCACCAGTGGGGTCCCTTGGCCTGGCCTGCGCCCTCTCACAATCCTGGACCCCTCGGGGGATGTCTGAGAGCCGGTTTCGGCCCGATCCCCACAGGCCAGGCCGAGGGACCCTACTGGTGCATGAATCCGTGCATCGGGCCTCTAGTATGTTAATAATTGGCCAATATAATCACCATCCATTAGTGATAAGTACATGAGAGTGGGGAGTATTATAACATTTTACTCTTAACTTTTAAATATATTTGAAAATTTTCCATGACAAAAGGTTATTTTTTATTTTTAGGATAAGGTCTGCCCAACTTCAAAGAAAGAATACAGGTCAAGGTCAATCCTATATAATAAAAGTCTAATATGCTAAGTGTCCAGTTGTCCATTCAACCAATCAAAGCCTAATATGCTAATGATATGCTAAGGCCACTCAACTGCTTGCTATAACGTGCACTGACCACCAGGGGGCAGATAGTCGACCGGTCGACCAGTTGCTATGACGTGCACTGACCACCAGGGGGCAGACACTTCGACCGGTAGGTTAGCTTGGTGCTGGGGTTGGGCTGATCAGGACTGAGCAAGACAGGCGGGACATGCCCTAGAGCCCTCTCGTGGTCCCTCCCTGGCTAGCCAACCTCCAGCGTCCCTCCCTGGCCCCAATCGTGCACCAGTGGGGTCGCTCAGCCTGGCCTACGCCCTCTCGCAATCCGAGACCCGTTGGGGTATGTCGGAGAGCCAGTTTTGGCCCGATCCCGCAGGCCAGGCCAATGGACTCCACTGGTGCACGAATTCGTGCACTGGGCCTCTAGTGTTTTTATAAATCTTTAGGTACTTCTGGTCACAAAAACAGTATATTATATTATCCCATTTATATAAAATGTCATAAAATGTCTCAAATAGGCAAATTTATACACAGAAAATAGATTAGAGGTTGCCTGGGCTGGGGAAAAGGGGTAGGAGGAAATGGGTAGTGATCACTAATGGATACAGGCTTTCTTTTTGGGGTGATGAAAACGCTTTAAAATTGTGGTGATGGACGACTCT